ATCTATCATCTATCTATCATCTATCATCTATCTATCTACCTATCTATATCTATCTATCATCTATCTATCATCTATCATCTATCTATATCTATCTATCATCTATTTATCTACCTATCTATATCTATCTATCTACCTATCTATATCTATCTATCTATTGTCTATCTATCATCTATCTATTTATCTATCATCTATCATCTATCATCTATCATCTATCTATCATCTATCATCTATCTATCTATCTATCATCTATGTATTTTTTAAGAGAGATTTTTGCTATAGGAGGGCACATACACTCTCTGGAGAGACAAGACAGAGAGAGAAAGTGAGAAATCACCCCCAGGGAGAATGGCCATACCATAGTCCCTTCTCCTCCATTCTCCTCCTGGGATTTTGGGCACACACATATGACATACACCTGTAGTGAGTTTCAAGCCACTGGGTCCAGGACTCAAACTGCGGTCAGCATTGTAAGTTCAGTGTTCTAATGACTTCACCACCTGCCAGCCCCTGATGTGTGTATTTTAAGTACAACATTTTTATTGAAAAAAGAAAGAAAGAAGAAAGAAAAAGAAAGAAAGGAAGGAAGGAAGGAAGGAAGAAGAAAGGAAGAAAGAGAAAGGGCGGGCCATTCAGTAGTGTGGTGGTTAAGGTGGCTGGGTCCCATGTGGCTGACTTCAACTTCAAGTCCTACGTCTGGCAGCTTGAAAACATGCTGGGTGCGTGCGTCTGCATCCCAGATCCCGAAAGGAAGGGGAGGGGGGGAAGGGGTTGTAGTGCGGCCATCTTCCCTGAGGGCTCCCTCATCTCCTTCCCCATCTCTGTCTCTCTGGTGAGCACTCTGGGGACTTAACAAAAGGAAGACAAGGTCACAGTGCGGGGAGAGGTGGGGCCCCAGCCCCAGCAACCGGGACAGGGACAGGGACAGGCCTTGCCAGCACCAAATCCCACTCGAGGCAGGGCGTGTGGGACTCGCCAGCCAACTGCACACGTAGGCCCTGCCCCTGCTCGCGGGTCCACAGACACGGGGCCTGCTGCGCTGCAGACCCAGCTCTGGGCGGTGGCCCAGGAACCTGCTTCCAAGACACAAGGAACCAGAGGAGGCCAGAGAGGGCCTCCAGGAGGCATGTGCATCCCCTCTGGGGGCTGCAGGATGAGGGGATGGGAGGTGGGTGCCATCCCTGACCCCGCTGTCAAAGGCCCACCCAGGGCGGAGTCGCCGTGGGGATGCCTGGACTGGAGGCTGCCCTGTCTCTTGCCGGCTCCTCCCCACCCCACCAGCCTGCACAACTGTGTGCAGGGCACATGGCATGCAACCAGGCCAGCGTGTGGACCTGTGGTGCCCTTCCCAGTGACGGCAAGGCTGGAACAGCAAGTCTCCGGGGACCCACACTCAGCACCCCCCAGGGAGAGTGGGGGAAGTTCTCTGGACCCCTTGAGTTCAAGATGGCACCCGGGGAAGGGGCCTTCTGGAAACCCGCCCCGACGCAACAACAAATTCAGCACCAAAACCAAACCAAACCAAAACCAAACCAAACCAAAACCAAACCAAACCAAAACCAAACCAAAGACGGAAGACGAGAACCAGAACACCTACGTGGGCCAGCGAGGGAATGCCAGCTGTGCCGCTGCCGTGGGAACAGCGGGGACACTCCTCCAACACCCACAGGGCATGCTGCCATGGGGCCTGGCCGTTTCCTGCCTGCTGGTTCCCAGGACGACAGTCCTGAAAGCGGCGTTCAAACGGGCACGCACACCCAGGCTCACAGAGCCGAGTCACATGGCCGGGGTGGGGAGGGGCGGGGGGCATCGAGGAGCCACCGAGGTCTGTCCACACGGGATGCAGAGCGGCCATGACAGGAACGACACGGGGGAACCCGAGGACACGGCACTCCGAGAGGAGCCAGGCCCATTGCCTGCGGCCCCAGGTACTGGGAGGCGGGGCGCAGGCAAGTCCAGGGGGCGGGTGTGGGCAGCTGCTCCAAGGTCAGGGTCTCTGTGGGCACCTGGTGTCTGGGCCAGCAGGGCCGGGAGTTGTGCAGCTCTGTGACCGCACTAAAAGCTGCCAGCCATGTGCTTCCGAGTGACAGACCCAAGTTCCAGTGAGTGCGGCGGTGCAGGCTAGCACGGAGCTGGGCAGCGTGGGAGGGTGCCAGCGGCCTGCCCTGGGGGCCGTGCGGCCAAGGCGGGCCCTCGCACACAGTACGCCTGCACCCACTCACCCACCTGCCTGGGACCTCCTGGTCCCCCAGCACCGTGCCAGATGTCACCTTGCTCCACGCGGGCACTGGCGCTGCCAGGCTCTCAGGGGCTTCTGGGCCCTGAAGCAGAAGGAGGTGTGTTCAGAGCCACCTGGACCAAGCCCCCAGGACTCACCTCTCAGCCTCAGGGCCACACGGGGGATCAGGGGGCCTCTGCTTCAGAGGCTGTGGCAGAGGCAGGGCCCTCCAGAGCCGGCTGCACCCAGCTAGGCAGGTGTCCAGGGCCCCCAGCCCACCCCACAGAGGGGAAAAGGTGCCCTATGTCTGAACCCTGCCCTCCTAGGCCTCCCCGAGAGGAGACTCCTGCAGACACAAGTCCTGGGAGGCCCGGGGTGGCCGAACTGAGCACCCGCCCCCCAGGCACATACCCCCAGCTGCGCAGAACTGGGGACGAACGTCACGATGCCAGGGCTGGTCTGGGAGACCACAGGGCCGGCTCTGCTCAGGGCGGCCTCCTTCTGCTTCCTGTAGATTTCCTGCAGCCTCTGGTTTCTCCGCTCCAGGGTCCGTGCGGCCGTGGCTTTGTCTTCCTGGGCCTGCCGCCGTCGTGCCAGCGCCTTCTGACGCATGAAGTCCCTCAAGGACTCGGAGCTGTAGGGATGGCCCAGGGAGCCCCGGGGTCTTGGGCAGGGCGGGGGCGGTCGCACATCCTTCTTCCCCAGGGGGCTCTGCAGAAAGCTCTGGCTGGGCCTCAGCCCCGTGAGCTTGGCTCCAGAAGACGGGGGGACGGCGCCACTGCCCTTTCCCAGGGTGCTGGCCCTCTGTGCCAAGGCGGTGTGCCGGGCAAGAGAAGGGACAGCTTCCCGAGAGCTCCATGGTCGGGGGGCAGGGGATTCCCAGCCTTCACTAGCCCCCGAGGCCCTTGGTAGACAGGCCTGCCCAGGCAAGGCACTCCAGGGCTGCCAGGAAAAGGAACCCAGCTTCCCAGGGGGGCTCCCCAGTCTCTGGAAGGAGGGGTCCTCTTTGTGACCCACCCAGGCCCTCTGAGGACCAGCCTGTGCAGCTAAAGCACTGCAGGGCCGCTGAGAGAAGGGGCCCAACTTCTCAGGGGCGCTCCCAGGTCTCTGAAAGGAGAAGTCCTGTCCTTGGGCTGCCCATGCCCTCCGTGAACAGGAGGGCTGCCCGACCGATGCACTCCAGGGCTTCTGGGAGAAGTGGCCCAACCTCGTTGGGGGGTTTCCAGGTCTCTGGAAGGAGGGGTGCTGATTGAGGCCCACCCAAGCCCTCCGTGGACAGGATTCCCACTCGGCCAAGGTGCTCCAGGGCCGGGGGGCGTGGAAGCTCCTGGCTCTCTCCAAAGGAGGCCTGCCCTTCATTGCGGTCCAAGGACTCTTCAAAAGGGAGCCCCGCATGTCCGGAGCGCTCCGGGGACCCTGCCGCCTCTGCCCTGCCGGGTCTCGAGGGCACGGCTTCGTGTGCCTGCATTCCCGCACACCCTTGGGTCCCTGGGCTAGCTCCAGCCCGGCCTGGACCTGCTGGCGGAGGTCTCGCAGGATAGCCATGGCCGTTTGCATTGTCGCTGGCCGATCGCGGGAAGCCACGCTGGGTGCATCCTCAGACATCTGCTGGCCACTGTGGGCAGAGGCAAGCCTGGGCGAGCAGGTTTGGACAGGTGGGCGCTCAGTGGCTGTAACTTTCTTGCCGTCTCCTGCGAAGACACACAGGGTGCAGCCCCCGGAGGAGAGGCCATAGGCCTGGATGTGCAGGAAGGGCAGGTGCCATGCCTCGGGACCAGGACCGTGCCTGGGCACCCCTGGACTGGCGAAAGCTGAGCACAGTGGAGTGCAGACAAGTTGGCCGAGGGGCCCCTGCCACTCCCGATCTTCCACCCGGAAGCCTAGGTGGGGTGCCTCTCGGGATGGAAACCCTCTCCTTGGGCCTTTAGAAATAACCACGCTCCAGAGTCCCCTCTCTGGGTGGTTTGCAGAGTGATGGGCTGGGGCCTCTTCCAGGCTCTGAGCCCAGGCAGCTCTCCTGCCCCTGCATGCATCGGGAATCCGAGGGGAGCGTGGCAGACACACATACCTGAGTCTGTGGTGGGAGCCTTGCTCTGAGGCCTGCAGAGGCCAGGGGGTGGCCCAAGCAGTGACCTCACCAGAGCCTGTCCTTTTCTCCAGGCATAGACGCCAACCAACTCGGAATCTGGAACAGAGAGACGCAGCCACGGTGCCATAGCCCCTGAGCGCTGACCCTGGGGAGGCTTGCTGGCTCCCCGCAGCCCGGGAGGCCGGGATGGGGCTGAGTCTGCGGCCCGAGTCCAGTTCTCTCGGGCAAAGCCAGACCCTCAGCCCTAGGCAGCGTGGGCCAGGGCTGAGTCCCAGGGCAACCGCAGACGGGTGACCTGTAACTTCCCTGACCCCCGGCGTCCGCCTCAGTAATACCAGGTGATGATACCGCCCCCACAGCGCCTGCTGTCGGCGATGGCCAGATGGGCGTCCTCGCTGCGCACCCGGGGTCCTCTCCCCAGGGACGAGAGGCCACCATAGCTGGGCACACGCACTGAGCCCAGGAAACGGATCTGTCTATAAGCCGACAAGTAGCAGCAGGGAAGGGCTGAGCGAGACTCCCAGGCCGGCAGGACGGGGTGTCGGATGCCGTGGAAGTAAATGGCCACCATATCCCGGCGCAGACAGCGCGCCTCGGTAAGTCACTGATGAACACCGTCTGTCAGAGCGACTTCATCACCGCCGTCTGCCTCACCACCTTGTCACAAGCCCACCCTTGGGGCCCACAGGCAAAGCGGCGGCCAGTCTTTGCCTGGCGTGTGCTCTGTCACGCTGCGCGCTCATGTTCCTCCTGGTCTGCCAGCTCGCAGGCCAGGACCACAGCTGCCGCGTGCAGCCTTCCATGTGCTCCCCGGGGGTGGGCAGCCCAGGGCAGCACCGTGTAGCCCGGGTCCAGACCCCCACACCACCTCTGCCAAGACTTGCTCTTAGCCCACAGAGAGGAAATTTCTGCCGAATGAGGGACCATCCAGAGACCGGACCACTGCGAGCCAGAGACCTCCCCAGCACCCCTAGACATGGCACCCTCCCGGAGCTGCCCCGACCCTTGCTGGTCAGCTGTGGGCCTGAAGCTCCTCTCGGGGTGGGGGGGGACAGGGCCAGCAGAGTCACACCCTCTGGCCACATGGCCAAGGTCAGCGTGTCCTCCCTAGGACAGGCCTCCATGGCCACGACCTGAGGTCACAGAGAGCTGAGGTGGCCTCGGGACAGGTCTGTCCTCACCAGCTGTGGTATGGGCAGCGACCTGACTGCTCTGCAGGTGGCACTTACCCGGCCACGCCCCCAGGCCAGAGCCGCAACAGTGGCCAGACCTTGCAGGAGCTGGGCTGGGAGGGGTCGAGATTCCACTGCTCAGGAAGGACTCAGCCAGAGCAGGACTGGGGGGACCTGGGCGGCCCCCCACCCAGAACTGGCATGTTCCCATGGGCCAGGCCTGGGAGCCATGGGGAGGGGCTGCCTGTCAGCCAGCTACTCTCAGCCCTGCAGCCCCCCAGCCCTGGTCCGCCCACCATTAGTCCACCAGAGGGGTCTCGGTCGATAAACGGGTCCTGATGGGCACATTTTTTTCTCCAACTGAACAGTTTAATGGCAATTAATTTTTTTACGAGAGGATTTTTAATCTGTGAAAATGGATGAAGCCCCCAAGTGCCCCGTCAGAGTCTGGGAGCTGACCTAATCTATGATAAAAAATGCAAAGTGAGGTGCTATAATCGGAAATTAAATACTGGGCTTCATTTTCCTGCAGTCCGATGGATGAATATTTTATAACTATTGTGATTTAATTTTTTGTTAACTACAGCACATTTCAAATTCATCCAATTCCCAAGTCCTATGGGTCTGACCTCTGACCGCAGTCTCATCTCTCCTTAGCCTGGCCGTGACTTCATCACTGACAGAAACTAATGGTCAACACGGTGAGGGTGACACGGCAGAGGGGTGATGGATGTGGCCGGTGGCATGCCCTCTGACCCCGTGTCAGGCAGAAAGCAGGTCGTTTTTCAAGCACGCCATTAAAATAAAACAAACCAAGGCTTGGGGTGGGTGACAGTGCAGAAAACTGTGATTGTTTATGCATTTTCTTTTTTCTTTTAAGAAGACATTTTTTGCTATAGGGTATGTGCGCTCACTGGAGAGACAGAGACAGAAAGCGAGAAATCACCCCCTGGAGGGGATGGCCACGCAGCAATCCCTTCTCCGCCATTATCCTCTCGGGATCTTGGGCGCGCGCGGTGTGTTTTAAGCTGCTCTGTCTGGAACTTGAACCACCGTCGACCATGCGGGAGTCTAGTGACAGCCATTACACCATCTAGTGGTCCCTGTTTATGCATTTTCAGTGGGCCTTCTGGAACCTTCTTGCCTCCCCATTGCTTGCCCTGAGGCTCGGTGCAGGTACTCCTTCCTCTCTGCATCCCCTCTGGCCGCTGAACAAACATGCCTGCCCTAGGCCACGTGGCCCTGCAAGCTGCTCCCTCCCACTGGGCACCCTGGGCTGAGCGCAGCACAGATCAGGAGACGTACTTCCCCCGGGGCAGCCGCTGCTCTGCTAGGAGGTGGTATCTGACGACAGGGGGCCTTGGGTATCTGGACACGGACACTGCAGGGCCCTCATGCCATGGGGACTGGGCCCAGAGCCCCACAATCCTGAGCCGCACCTTGGCCCTGGTGCTGCTTGTGTTTAGACCAAAGGCATGCTCTCCCTGCCTGGGGGCTCTCGGTGGTCCCAGAGCCCAGGCCTGCAGGATGGGCATCAAGAAGGTACCGCTCTCAGCGAAGAGCCAGACCGGTCACGGCTCAGCCTGGCTCTGCCTCGACCTTGTCCCCTCATCTACAAAATACGAGAGCCTGCCCACAGCACAGAGAGCCCGTGTGGCCGGCACGGAGCCTGGGCCCTTCGAAGGACAGCCCGAGGACTGGCCTGCCCGCCCTCCGCCATGCCCACGTGACTAGGTCTTGGCCCGCCACACTCAGGCAGGGCGTCTAGCCACAGGGCAGGACCCCCTCAGGGTCACCCCACAAGCTCCCAAGACCACACCCAGACTGGACAGCGGCACCTCACAAGGGCGCGGCACCCCACTGTTCTTGGCACAGATGCCCCAGTTAGAAATTCCCTGGTGCGGGCAGCCCCGTGGCTGAGGTCAAGGGAGCCAGTGGGTAACAGTGACTCAGAGCTTGGCCCTGGCAGCTTTAGAACACCCTGGGCCCATGTGCATGCATGCCCCAAACCCCAACAGGAAGGAGAAGCAGGGGACTGCAGCACGACCATGCTCCTTCGGGGGTTCACGCTCTGGTGAGCACACATACTCTGCTGGCAATGCAAATGAACAAGTGAGTAATTCCTCGGTGGCCCGCCCCCGGTGGCTGCAGTGCAGTCTCTCAGCAGAGCTCTCCGGGACGCGTCTCTGAGCTTCATCATCAGTCACTTGGGTGAGTTTCTCCCTGTCACTACTCTGAGTCCCCAGAGTTGCCTGAGGGGCCAAGACTGACCCCTGGCCTTTTCCTACCACCCAGCGCTTGGGTGAAAGCAGACGTTCGGGTCTAAGTCCCCAGCCAGGCCCAACAGGCTGCACTTCAACCAGGCTTCCTG